AAGTTAAATGATAATATAAATGATGAAATAAAATGAAAAGATAAGATATATGTTCTAAAAAGAAAGATAAAAGATAAAAATAAATGAGATTTGTTAATGAACCATTTCTAAAGCATTCCTGAACTGTTATTGAACCATTTGTGAACTGTTGTTAATTTTAGGACTAATTATTCATTAATAATCTTAAAATATTGCAAAAATATTGAAGAATATTGCAAAAATATTGTTGAATCATGATTGAATCCATAACTAATATATCAATTATATTATTCAAAACCACATATTATTCAAAGATCATTTGATTAGTCACATTTTTCAAGTTCAAAAAATTATGAAATTAAAGAAATTTATGTTACTATGGTAATAATAATTTAAAAATAAAATATATTTATTTTTCTTTTTAGAATATTTATCTTATTTTTTATTCTATTTTATTATTTATATTATCTTTTAACTTAGTATATATATCTTATTTTATTATTTTATTAATTTATTTATAATTTTTTAGTATTAAAACTTATAATTATATATTAGAATAGTAAATAAGTTATGAGTAGAATTTAAATAAAATTTGTAAAATCTCAAAGATATATAAATATCTTTACTTTTAAATATGAAATAAATATATTTAAATAGTAATAATTAATGATAAAAGCTGTAACTAATTATAACTTATCACAATTCTCTGATTAATTATTATGACTTTATTATAATTCTCTGATTAATTATTGCAAGCTGTAACTAGTTGAGAAGCTATCTTTAATAATAATTCAATTATTTTTTGAAAATATTTGAGATTATATTTATCTTATAAATTTTTTTTAATCTTTGTCTTGATATTTTATTTTCAATTATCTCTTCTATCATAATAGATTATATTCTGGTTAATTACATATTTTTCTTGTTTAAAAAATATAGATAATGAATATTCTTTACTTAAAATAAGCCAAGTATATTTTATTTGATTTATAAAGATTCTTATAAGCTTTCTTACATATAAAAGCTTTAATTTATTTTGATATATATTTTTTATTTATCTAATAATTAAAAAAATACTATTAGAGAATTTAGTTAGCATACTAAATCTTTTATTTTAGTTATAGTATTTATTATTTTAGTTTTAGGTATCTATTTTTAGTTTAGTTTTTATAATTATAACTTTCTTTTATTTATTTTATTTTATCTTATAATAATATAATACTTATAAGTATTAGTACTAAAAAATCTTTAGAATAATCATAATTCTCTTTATCTTTATAAATAATTCAGTCTTTGTTCTCAAAGCTTATTATAGACTATATTTCTAATAAAATTTATATTTATGAATATAGTTTATAATAATATAAATATAGTAGTAACTAGAGATAGTATCATAATTAGTTGTAACTCAGTTATAATTCTCTAATTAACTATTATAATTAATGATAATTAAATCATAATTCTCTGATTAGCTATCACAAGTTGTAATTAATTATGATATTATCTTTAATAATGACAGATTATCTAAGATTATACAAATACTTATATATTTTTTAAATTAATATATTTATTATAATTTTATTTATTAGTTTAAGAAAAGTATAATATATTAGTTTCTTATTCTTTTATTTAGAAATATATGAAAAAAATAATATAAAAGCTTGAAATCTTTATACTGACAAGTTATCATATTAAAATATAAAAAATATAAATATAAATCTATATAAATACTAACTAGAGTAAAATAATATTTATAAATAAAATTACTTTTGATTTTTTTAGAAATAAAGTTAGTAAATAATATCAAAATAATAATAAACTAATCTACTATTTATCAAAAGTATATCAAAAAATAATAATATAAGATAAAATCTTATTAAAAGATAAAATATCTTTATTTTATTTTATTAATATAATAAATAACTCTTATTATATAAATATTTTATAAATATAACTTCTATCTATTGTAAAAAACTTATATAATAAAAACTAATATTTGTAATAGAATAATAATTCTAAATATATTTTATATATTATAAAGAAATTTTTTATCTAAAATAAAATTCAGATCATAAAGTAATTATTTAATAATTTTAACTTAAATCCTATTAAAAATATGTAAAATATTATAAAAAATAATATTAAAAAATATATATCAATAAGTTAAAATAATTTATAATTAAGAAATAGAAAAAAATTTAATTAATTTTATAAAAAATAGATGTGAACTAATTTTAGAAAATAATAATAATAAAATTAAATATTAAGTTTTTTTATTTAATAAAGTATTTTATAAACTTTTAAATAATTAAGTTTTAGTTAATTTCTCTTGTAATTATTAAGATATATAACTTTTTATTATTTTTATTACATATTATATATTTATTATATTCTTATAATAAATAAAATTTTTTTCTTTTGCATATTAAATAACTTACAAATTTCAGATCAAATCAATTCAGATTATATCTGAATTAACTTATTCTAAATTATACTATTTAATTTTAGTATTCTTTTTAACTTCACTAATTTCTAATTAGAAATAATAAAATTTTGCAAATATAAAAATTGCAAAAATTATAAATTAATAGAATTTTTGTAAAAATTAAAACTTTATATTATAAAAATTATATTAAATTGTAAAAATTATAAAAATTATGAATATATCCTCTTATTTTTTTATAAAAAAATGCGTATGAATTTTTTAATACATTCTTTTTGAATAAAAATCATATTTTTTTAATTTAAAAATTAATTTTATAATAAATATGATATAAGAAAATAAGAAAATTACTTAAATTTATATTTCTGATCATTTTTATATTATGACAATTTACTTTTTTGCAATTTTTGTAATATTTCTGTTGATAAAAATATAAATCAATAGTAAATAATTATGTTAAAAGCAAAATATATCAAGATTTGAAATTTTCTTTAAAAAATTTAATTCACATATTTTTATATACTCTTTATATTTTTTATTCAAAACATGTCAAATATTTAATTCTACTTATACTTATTTTAGTATAATTGAAAGAAGAAATATTTGGCAATATTCTATTATTATCTTTAGAAGATTTATTATGAAAGTGAGCCATTTACTATAAATGGAATAAGAGTGAAATTTGAATTTAGATGAGTTTTGGTGAGATAATATCAATCAATTTCAATTATTATCTAATATAATTTTGAATCATATTTGATTACCTATTTCTAGTTGCAGTGTAGAGCATAATTTTTCAAATTATAACAATATTCTATCTATTTTTAATAAATAAAAAACTGCAAAATAATGAATTATTATTGCAGAATTATTACAAAATCTAAAGTATTATTGCAGAATTACAAGTTTTTAATATCGCAGAATTTTTACAGAAACTATACATTATTGCAGACGGAATTTACCTTTAATCATCACAAAAAATCATCGTTCCTGCTTCTAATTTCACTAATCACGAGATCTGATCTCGTGCCCAAGATCACGCGTATCGAGATCTACGTGATGACGTAAGTCCAATTCCATGCTATGCACGAAAATTGTGATATTACAAATCTTGAGCAAGAGAGTAACGATTTATTGTCTTCCGCCAATTTAAACTGCTCAGGAATAAGCACCACCTTCATTTTGATATGTTGATTTGGTGGTGCTTATTCCTGGATTAATACGGTAGATATTCAAGAAACTGTCCAGAAATAAGCTATATTTATTATCTTGCGATTTGATTGGTTTACCCCTTAAAAAATCACATGATCCGACACATTTTTTTGCCGTGGCCAGGGCGTTAACGTAGTCCAATTCCCATGCTACGGTGTATCACGTATCTTTTTTTTTTCACACAATGTCAGGTTCTAAACGCAAGACATGTTCGTCGGAGAAAAACTTTGAAGAGGAATCAGTCGCTTGGAAACCATTTATAAAAATATTGGAGAAGCCTAATGTGTCCAACCGCCTTCTCGAATACTTGTGTAGTTTAAAGCACAAAACCCTTTTAGTCGACGAAAAACAAAAGACACACAGAAATTGGATTGCCCACCTCAATGAAATCTGGAAAAGACATCCTTCCTCGCGGATTCAAAAGTTGGCAGATAAGAGCA